ACACTAAGCAGCCATGTAAAGGATAGAGAACTGGTATCTTAAACTATGCCAGCACTCCAATGCTTGTTTGATTGGGTGCATCCGTCTTTTTATCAATTTTGGTTCCTAATCCTCTCCCTATCTGAACAAATGTTTCTTTGGGTGCAACACAAGGCAGATTATCCCATGTATTAAGTTCACTTCGTATTTTAACCCTGAAAGCTGCAGTATTCGACTCATGAAGTGGTGTCCCCTCTTTTTTCGCTCATTGCTGCCTGCCTTAATTGCGCTAGTTTTCGACGTCGTTTACTGACGGGGGATAGTGTTAAAAGATCAACAGTATCCAGCAATTCACCTGATTACAATACACTGCTTTGGATTTGATCGGCTTTTCGTTTGTTACCTTCACCTGTAGGCTTACTAGGCGTACATGATTCTGTAGACTCACCAGATTCTGTTGATTGTTCCGTCGCAACTGTCGCCTTGTCTGTCAAGTGTTTCTCCAGACTAAACCTTGCCTCAAATATAGCAACAGATCTATTTGTTATTTCCCTTTTGATTTCGGCCAGTGTTGTAGTTCGTGTTTCTGATGTGAAGTTCAGTGAGATTAGATCCTTGTAGAGCGAGTGGAGATAACAATTAACTAGTGTCTCAATATTCGGCTTCTGTGGAAAGTAATGCGAGATGTTCTCTTTAAGTCTAACGCGATAAGCCTGTATTGCCTCAGTTAGTTCTTCTTCGCTTGTAACCTCGTATTCTGATTTTGGTCCCGATGATTTGGCCACGTCGATACTAATATCATCCCCCAAAAGGAGTTTGCAATCAAGTATATGTTTCAGGGAATCCGCCAAGCTGTCGTTCGCGGATTGTATATTCATCTGGCACTGCATCAAGGGCGAGTAATTACTAAAAATTCTCGCCGTACTTCGCGTATATGTTTTGTGCTTTTAAATTTATCTCTTTAAATCTTGCCTCTTGTGGTGCCCCGCAGACTATCAGTCCCTGGCAAACTCTCTTTAGGATCATCTATTAAGGCCTGGATTGCAGGACAATTTAGATCGTCTCTCTTGACCATTAAATACACTCTAATCCAGCGTACCCCACCATTTGCAATAGCCCTGGTGAACTTTCCATAGTTTAAGACTTCTTGTGCACCTACTAATTTGTCCGTACCTTTGGTGCTCTTGGTCAAGAACACTGATCTGGTTGCACAAAAGTGCAACATGTCGGATACGGGTTTATATCGTTCATTGCTTCCTGCTTGTCTGCGTCTAGAAGAGTCTCAAAGATATTGAGTTGATTTTCTACATTTTCTTTGTGTAGTCTCTTTTTGTTGGACTCGAATACCTCTCGGTTTTTGTCGGTTGCTGTCACTAACGAACCTCCAATAGCATTTTTCAATACTAATGCTACACGATGTGCACTGCAGCCTAATACAACGTTTGACATAGCCTCAGGGCCTTCTGTACATTGGATGCATTATCAGGTGTCGCACTATGTATTATCTGTCGCATGTCTAGTTTACCATTAACACTATCTTCTTTTCCAGCTCAAAATGTTGTGCTTTCGAGTGGATCTAGAAACTCTCAGCCTTCTAGCACTTCCCGCTGACATACAGCCAAGTTTTCCCCTGTGTGTGACCCAATTATCTCCTTCAGTCCTAAGAATACAATCTTTCCAAACGTCATTCTCGAGTGCAGCGAATGGTACTGCATAAAATTTCAGCGCTTTTTTCCATTGGGCAATAGCATTCTTTTTGATAGCATTTTCTAATATCGGTAAATACTTCCGTATTGTATCAGGTGTCGCAGATGTGTATTGAAAGTGGACATTCGTAGGCACCGCCAGTGCTGCGTTGACCCATTCCCTAAGCTCGGCTTTCTTTCCAAGTTTAAAAGAAAGATCATTTTTTTTGCAACACATCGCACACAAAATAAGTCCGCTAATCTTTTAGCAGAATTATATTTCATAAGTGGTCGCTTACTGGAAGAACCAGCCCCCATAATACTCTGCTGCCGCCCATTCTTGTTCGCTTGCTTCTCCATTTGTCTAGTGACTAACTTGCTAATATCATCATACCACTCTTTAGCGTCCCTTTTTTTTCGTAATGAATGATGGCGTTATTAGCGTTTTTACGGCTCTATACATACGTCTTATATCGTTATTGCAGTCATTATCGTCTGCTTTAAACTTTGTAGCCGCGAATTTGGGTTTTTGTATCTTAGTCAACCCTCGGTAAAACATCAAACAACTATACTGTGACCCGCTTACAGCGTCAACATTGATGAGTTCCTTGTACACTTTGGATGTTGATTGCACTTTCTTTGTGCTTGACTGCACATTATCAGAGCTCGCCGTGTCCTTTCCAGTCGGCGTGCTGCTGACTGTCTCTGTAGCTGCCCTTCCCTCAGGATCCCCACTAGTTGCCGCCATACTAATCTACAATCCGACGTACAATATATCTAACTATAGAAACGAAATATATTACACTCTGATTACTGTATTAATTGATACATACTAAATATATGATTTCAGTCACCATGTGAGCAAAAATAAGATAAAGTAAGAATATATCCCGTTCCTTAAAAAATAAATATAATATCGGGATCTGCTTATTTCTTATTTTAAAGAACATAATCGGCCATATTCCGGTTTTCTTAATTAAGAAATAAAATATTACTTACAGTCCGAATTCCAAAATTTGATTTCCTTACGTAAATCTTAATTTTAAAAATCAGGAATGGACCTTAATACGTATTTCTTACGAAAATTACAATTTTTTCTCTCGTGTTCGATCCTCTGCAAACTCGGAACATGTTTTTGCGTGGCTCACAATGCTCAAGAAGAACATACCACGCACACGGCACTGCTTACATTCGGGATTATCAACCGTTCTCGGGTCTAAGCTGCTTTTGATTTTGTTATTTTACTTCTTTACATTTTCGAGTGTCATTACGTACCTAGCCACCCAATTCTCACCGATATCCCGCTCTAAGCGCTGTTGAGCAATCTCGGCTGATATTTTGTTAGCCGATGTTAGGCCTTGTAAGTACCATTCTTTACACTGCGCCGCTGCAGCCGGAGTAAGACGCAAGGCGTCAGCACCACTGCGTTGTCCTTTTTTTTTTTTTTGCAGTATCTGGGCTTCATTATATTGTGGTATTTTTCTAGTGTTTCTGGTTGTCCAGCTCGTGACCCTGATTGCTGTGGTTCCGGTGTTTGCTGTGATCCTGCTTGCTGTGGTTCCGGTGTTTGCTGTGATCCTGCTTGCTGTGGTTCCAGTGTTTGCTGTGATCCTGCTTGCTGTGTTCCTTGTCGTTGAATTTGAAGGCCGCCATGCTCTGTTACACTCGTACCTGTAGCAAAGCTTACTATCGCTTCTATCAAAACATCGCCTCCTTCTTTCCTAGGTGGTCTAACTGTACTGGCTGTTGGATCAGAGTACTCTAGCTCAAACTCCTGCAGTAGTTTCCCCTTGCTGAGCTTCTGTATATATCCATCGTGCAATGTTCAAGTCACCCCCCCATATCTTTCAACGTTTTATTGATTTTTGAGCACGCTGCACAGTTGTCAGAAGCTGCGGAGGCTGACGCATTGTCACTTTGTATGATGATCTTAGTCTTCGTCGGGAATCTTTAATTCACGTGTAATACAAGACCTTCCAACGCTGTTTGCACTCTTTCGCAGTTTTGATTGTGATCCACCATCACTAAATCAAGATATCCCGATTCTATAGAACCACACGTAGCCTTTCTGTATGTGATGGCGGCTCCTAATAGACTGTGGCACGTTTTGCCGAAGTACTTTACCATATCTCCATGGTACCACTGAGATAATATCTTCTGTTTGTGATCCAAGATGATATGTAGTGTATCGTTGTCTAGGTTGTTTTTGATGTTAGCTATATGATGATCTTGCCATGAACCTCTTGCCGTATGATTTTGGAACGTAAAGATATCTTTATCAATTGTCTGTAATACAGGTATTATTGATGTAAGGTCACAGAAATCCATGGAAGTTTTATGCTTGGTCTCAGATGCGTCTGGTTGTGTATCACCAAGTGGATCTTGAAGGTTGGTATCGTGGGTTAATAACTCGTAGAAGTTAAGACCATTGTATAAAACCGGCATGCTTCCATTCACCGGCCCCTCTTTCCCGGAAACAAGCTGCACTCTTTCCCTATCTCATGTCGCCAAGTGTGCTCGAGAGGTATCTACTCCAAAATGGGCATCGTATGCCTTCTATATCACCTCCTTACTATATTTCCTCAACATGTACGGAATGTCCTTTAGCCGGGCTTTCAAATAGCATGGGTTGCGGAGCTGTCCTGCAATAAAACCAGACGTCATTCTAGATTTTGTATGAAGCCATTCTAAGGTGTACAAGAAACTCGACCTCTCATCTGATAACATAATTGAAGTATAAAGCAAAATAAAAGAATGCATCAATTAAATATTGGCTATGAATCCTATATTTTCGTTGTGTATAATTCTCATTATATACATACCCTAGGCTTGTACATGGTATTTTCTCTCGACATCCTATCAGTTTGGATATCATCAAAGTCACTCTGGGCGCGTATAGAATCATGAGCAGCAAAATTAGGCACTAGCACTTCTTCCTCTATCTTATTTTGCAACCTATCAGCTGCAAACAATAGTTGATCCCGAACCATCACCGTACTGGAAGATTTGCTCTGGTTGTCATCGTAGACAGCATTGAAAGGCAGAGCATGCATAGCTCTACAAATATATGAATCATCCGTTCTGACAGCCACGTCCGCCATACTACCCAGAATCGTTTGCTCTTTCTTGAGCAGCGCATTATTGTTCTTGTTTACAACTAAGTTGTATAGAAGGTTGCTAGATCTAGTATCCTTGGCGATATTATTTTGGTCAACTGTTTAACCAAACCTCTCACGTGGCCTACTAGTAAACCAAGTTTCCTCACACTGCCTACTAACATAGCAGAATTTGACATAGTGTACTCGTATGGGTTACCTTTCACATCTAGAACAGTGTATAAGTCTTTGATTTTCAAGTTATCTTCAACTATCTCGATAGCAAGAGTCGTAGGTCCTTCCACGTCTGTATAATTTATCTCTGCGCGCAAACGCTTTGATTGCCTCGTAGTAGTTGAATTGACGTATGCTTTCCTATTTCTATTGTTTCGCTTCTGACCTCGGTGAGCGACACCATTACAACAACAAACACTTCCCTTGCACTCATATTCGGGATCATTGCCGTCGCAGGGTGTCACGCATAAATTCCCGTTTGAAGCTTGGGGCAAGTGAGTCGGATAATAATATTTTTTTCAAAAATGGCAAGTATCACTCATAATACCTTCTGAAAATTGAACAAAATCAAAACAAAAAAGGGCGCCATGTTGGGGATTTCAGGGTTACTTATTTATTTATAGCATTCTGTTCTATTTTTACGACAGAATCGACTACGGTTGGAATCGATCGAGTACTGCAAACTTCTGAACTAAGCACGGTACATATGTACATCCAACGGGCGATCTCCTTTAATGTACCTCCTCTTTTCATTTCCGCTTTTACATTGGTCATAATTTGCGATGCCGCATTAACATAACGTTCTGATTCGTAGCTTGAAGCTGGGTCAATTTGTACCGGAGTATTTTATTCTCGCAGAAGGTGGTCTTAATCCTTTTTTTTGTTAAGAATGACATGGTAGCTCTGGCAGGGGAGGGCGAGAGGAGGGCAGGAGGCATAGTTTTGTCTGAGTCTCACTCTCATGTCGACATAGACTCAAAGAGTCACGCCTCATGGAATCATGGACTCATGGTCCTGGGCCCTGGGGCTGGCAGACCTGGACTCCTGTCAGGACATGTCGGTCGCGACATGAAGTCGGCAGCTTTGCTGGTGGTTGTATCGTAGCCTACATACACAAATCGAGACACGCCATACCTGTCGCGGCGACATTTTTTCAGGGGTGTATGTCGTTGTCGTATACCAACCCAGCTGTCAGGCTGTCACTGTTGTACATACACAATTTTTAAAACACAAATAGTCAAATACATAATAGTGCTGGCCGCTGCTGGGCACTGCTGGGACAGTGTACAGAGTGCTGTCAAATACATAATAGTGCTGGCCGCTGCTGGGCACTGCTGGCCGCTGCTGGGCACTGCTGGCCGCTGCTGGGCACTGCTGGCCAGGCCGCCAGCGCTGCACACATTACACAGTGTACAGAGTGCTGGAGCCTGGGGGCCCTGGGCTGCTGGCGCCTGGCGTGAGTCTGGTCACAGTGGCCAGTGACTGGCGGTGCCGAGCATTGCTCGGCTTACTCTGTGACTCGCCACCGTAATTTAAAAAATCTAAATAAGTACATGATATGTATGACTAAGGCGTGACACATTATGTATGAGGCTATGTGCGAAACAGTAAAACACTGACTGAAATTGTGAGAATGTTTTTTCTTCAAAATTCTGATTCCATATATTCTTTATTTAAAAAAGTAAAATGGCAATGTATATTTGAAATATTGTGCTATTTATGCAAGAGAAGAGACCTGAAAACAGTGCTATGTATTTATTTATTTTCTAAAAGTTTAAAATTAGATTCTAGGCTTTCCTGTCTCCAGGAGTCCTGTCTTAGGTCTCTTGAGTCCAGCCGTCCAGGCCTGAAAGGCCCCCAGCCCCAGGGGCCAGGGGCCAGGGGCCAGGGGCCAGGGGACAGGGGCCTTGTCTTCCTCAGGCTCAGGCCTCAGGCCTCAGTGTGGGTTAGTGGGTGTCTGGGAGACTGGGACTCCGGGTTCCTGGGTCTAATATTTATTAAAAAAATACTTTATTTAGTCTGAGGCTCTGAAGTCGCCCTAAGGTTATAATGTATTTTTCACCGGAAGCGTAGCTTAGGTGTAGAGTCCCTATGTATTTTTTTACATATTGAACTTGAAATCTGTCCGGTAATTTGTTTCGAAAAATAGAGCATATTTTGCGGGTCCGTTATTGACGGCTGAAAAGAAGAGCTTGAAATTGACAGTGAAGCGTGATACAAGTTTTTTTTTTAAATGTGAGTGTCAGTGTAATTTTTTTTAAATTCAGCGGACGGTGGAAACTGTGAATTGTATTTTTTTTTCTGGTTAAAAATATATGTGCAGAATGTTTGTTTCCTTTTTAAAAAAAAAGATGAATATATCTACTACATATACATCAATTACATATATATATACATGTAGATGCTTTTTTTTTTAAATACTCAATTATTTACTCTCTACATAGAATTTTAGAATGAAGCTAAATAGTACGTAAATACAATACTCCATAGCATAAATAACATCAAACAAATATGCTCTAAGAGTCGCAAGTATCGAAGTTCGAATCCACCATTGGCCTGAACAAATTTTGTGATTTTTTATTGTTATTTAATATTTCGTTTCTAAAGACTGAGCGAATCAAACCTTTCAGGTCAAACCACCGAACCAGTTTGCGGTACATTACTCAATGTGAGTATTTATCAAGTGTTGATGTAACATCTATTGATGTCTGATGATAGCTCTTCTAAGGTCCGGCTGGTTGGTGTGGGTGCCAGCAGGTTACCGATAGAAAACCTGTTTTCGATTCATCATCATGTGCACATCATGCATGTAGCATCAAAATTGCATTTCGCAACTTCCTGGATAGCTAATTTACAATACATACGTCATACATTGTGCAATTATTGACATTTTGAGAATACATATTTTATAATTTTTTAAATACATAACCTAAAAATTTCAAACTTTTCATAATAAACTACTACAATATTTATATGCATCGGAAGTGACTTGTGTCTCATTATTCAATATTGTCAGGACAGCACGTGTGCATTCGACATGTCTGTATACGGTAGCACAGTCATAATGGGCGAAACCTCAGTGCGACCGCGACTTTTGAGTTGTTATTCTAAATCACAATTTTCCCTGTCTGATCCTGAGTCAAATAGCCGATGCTCTTTGGACAGCACACAGCGCTTAGGCAACAACACCACTCCATTTAGGAATAAATCAAGGATTGCCAGCATATGTAAAGGAAGAAGGGAGTGCAGTTTCGGCGCCCAAGTGTCCCAGATTGGCGGCCAGTACTATGTGACATGTGTACAAAAGTACGATGATTTCGGTTACAGATCAGGAGCTTATAGGGCAGGTCTAAGCTTTGCGGATCGCATTTTGTCGATAAATCAGCTGGTGCCGGATTCAATTTCAGATGTGCAATCACTACTTGATAACAGCGAACATTTGACCATTATGTTTGAGCAGCAACCAGATCTACTACATGCCTGGGTGCCGTTGAAAAACGGAAGACTACGTGGAATGACAACTACAGGGCAGCATGTAGGGAAGGTTAATGTAGGAGGTGTTGCGCATAGGCTTGGTGTGAGGGAAGGACTCGCCATCTTGGCTATTGATAGGCAATGTATATTGGGAATGAGCGACGAGGTCGTCAATACGATGATCTGGAAACGAACGGGCAGCTTGCACAAAGAAGTACAACTCACATTAGTAGAAAAGGCTGCACATAGTGCATTATTAGACTGCCTGAAGATGGCTGTGTGGGCACAGCAAATACCGATGAATATATCGGATTATGTAAACCATACCCTCCAACTTGATAGGCCTCTCAGAAGGGTGGACTACCCTTGTAGAGTCGAAATTAATGACAGTTTTCTTTTCTATTGGTCGTACAAAATACGGCTTTGGAGACGCTTACATCAGTAATAAAATCGTAAAGCTTATTGTATCGCGAAACCTAAACTTGAACTGTTGAATAGTGAAGACTTCTATCATTTCAAAACTAGAAGAAAGAACCCAAATCCCAAATATGCGGCCCCACTAGATACTCTTTATTAAACTTGCGCCTTGACATCCAATAAAACGCCTCATTCATAAATCAATTGGTCAACCAATCGTCAATCAAATTGTCAATACAACTTGCAAGTCGTCTGCCTATATCGTACGGTCAGGAAGCGATCAATCGTGTGGCCTACGCGACGTGATGTAAAAAGGTTGTTTCTTCTCCACAGACAATGTACTCGTCATGAAACTAAGGATAGAATGTTCAGGCCAGCAAGAGTGCAACTTTCTTATTATCAAACTCCGGTTTCCTGTGGGGGAACCCCATACTTGGCAAGATGGTGCAAGACCGATACCATGTGCACAAACACGCATAATTCCTACTAAAGACTTGAGGGCAAAACTAATGCTGAGACCACTGAATACTTTTCAGGTCGATTCCTTCTTGTACCATCTCCCACAGGGGAGATAATTCGCGCAGACGTTCCACGTGCTCCAAGCACTTCGCCACGACATAGTCAATTTCCTGCAATGTGTTCGTTCACGTTATAAATACAAATACAAATATGTGATTAACTCGTGGAATATAGAACGAGGTGGCCAACAATATAGGATCTCAAAAAACCTGAATACATAAAATAAATAAAAACTTGACAGCCACTACATTCCTCAATGTGCATCTGCAAAAAAAATTACGGCTACACGCGTTTACAAATCTCACTGGCCTAGCTCGGATAAACATGACTCGCAAAAGTAAACCAAACAATGACTCGAAACGAGCCCGACCATATAATATTAATGACCCGCATAGCAACACCTGCATATGGCCAACTCAGTTAATCAGTTTATCCACAGTCATCAAACTTGATGAAAACATACTTCTTCGGTGGTGAACCGTCCGATACCAAATCGAATAGAAGAATGCGCAAGGTCCTCATCAGTACCAATGGCTCTGAGAACATAAGATGGCTCAAGGGAAGCTGACGTACACGCACTTCCCGACGAAAGCGCAATGTCCTTCAGGGCTATTTGTACAAAATGAACGATAAATATTTTCAGTATTGGAGAACACAACGCGACATAACATATTGCACAATTGCTGAGATTGAATACAGACCTTTCTGTACGGTAATAGAATAACGCATATAACCAACAACGCCTATTGACAAGAAATCCCCCCATCCACCCAGGTATGTAATCGACGCAACTGCGCAATTCACATTGCCACGAAGCAGTGCACGCAAATATCGCCTTTACGAAGCGCAAATACGCGTTCTCTTAAACATAAACTAGATACCAATCAACAGACTCGCGCCGTCAAACGCTTTCATATAACCGGAATGCGAGGACAGCCTATTTTTTCAATCGCTTATAAAAGAACAACAACTAGCACAACTGAATTCATACTTTCTGCTTTGACAGTCTACATACCCATCAGAAGACTTTCACCTTCGACGTAAGCAAAGGACAAGTTCACACAGCCGGGATAGGTGGCATACGGGTCCCCGTTACGGATCACATTGCTCAGTTTCGAATTGATACCATCAATCAATCGCTTACTCAGTTTGCTCACGTGCTCGTGGTCAAACGCCATCTCCTTCTCAGCGAGAGAACAGGCGGCGCCCAAACCGACACAGAGGGGAGTTGGGAGAGTGCCTGACCGAATTCCTGCGGTCAGATTGAAATCAAGTATATTCTATGTGAGCGGCTAGCGTTTTCTATTTCATATTAGCCAAGGACATCGTCGCATCATGCAATGATTCCCTTCTTGTTTCTGGCAGTACAGAGATACTGCAATGAAAAAGCAATGAAAAGACCCCCCAATTGATTACACGGTACATCTACAGGCGAGAAAGACGAACTACTTGCATGTTGCAATAAAACTAAATATATAGAACACGTACCTCTCTCTTGGCCTCCGCCACTCATCTGAGCGATAAGGCGCACACGCGGACGTCTCTGCACGTACAACGCACCCACGCCCTTTGGTCCATATAACTTGTGCCCACTGATAGACATAAGATTAATGTTCATGTCCCGCACATCCAAGGGAATCTTGCCCACGGCCTGAGCTGCATCTGTGTGGAACATAATCTTGTTCTCTTTGCAAATTTGTCCGATTTCTTTCAAAGGTTGCACCACACCAATCTCGTTATTAACCGCCATGATCGACACCAACGATGTATCTTTGCGGATAGCCGCCTTTAACTGGTCCAAATCGATAAGTCCATTCTCTTTCACGGGCAAGTACGTCACTTCGAACCCTTGATCCTCCAAATATCTGCAAGAATCCAGCACACACTTGTGTTCTGTCTGTGTGGTGATGACATGCTTCTTTTTTCCTTTGTAAAACTCAGCAACACCCTTCACGGCAATGTTGTTGCTTTCCGTCGCACCCGAAGTAAACACAATCTCTTTATCTTCTGCACCAATCAAATGGGCAACTTGCTCACGGGCCTCTTCAACAGCGTCTACCGCCTCCCAACCATACTAAAGTAGAACAAATTTGACGAAAGCATGTCTATAAAGTATGAAATGGTTTTCATAGGGATCGCATCAGTTAGACATGCCTATTATGACAATCTGAAGCAATTGTATTTTATACTATGATCCAGATATATTAATCTAGGATAATGGTGACAATAAATAAATAAATGTGTACTGGTAAAAGGTATCGCCTTAATCTTATTATACATGAACATATTAAAATGAAACCAAACACACATATACACATACATATCCTTATGTATATATATAACAACATATATATATATATATATATGTTGGTGTGTGTATGTGTGTGGGGGTGTGTGTATGTATATACATATATATATACGTATTAATATATACATATATATATTTATATGTACATATTTATATATACATATATATATATATAAACATATATATCTCTCTGTGCATGTATGAAAATATAGTTGAATTTGTGTATGTATATTCATATATAAATATATACATGTGTGTGTGTTTGTGTGTGCATATAAACAAAAAAATATATGAATTTATGAATATACAATAATATATTAATATATGAGTGTGTGTGTGTGTATGTCTGTGTGTGTGTGTATGTCTGTGTGTGTTTGAGTGTGTTTGTGTATGTGTAGCTATATATATGCGTTGATAAATATATAAATATATGTATATATATACTTTTATATATATATACATATAAATATATTTATAGTATTAATCTATAAATTTATATATATATATATATACTATAAATGATAGATAGGTATATAAAGCGGCATATTAATCTATATATGTACTTATATTTATACATATACATAAACACACACACACACACACACATATATATGTATGTATGTATGTATATATATATATGTATGTATATATATATATATATATAGAATTAGTTATATATACATATATAAAGATATATATATATACATATATATAAAGATATATATATATACATATATAAAGATATATATATATACATATGTATATATATATGTATTCATATATATCTATATGAATATATATACATACATATTTAAAAATAGAAGATACATTCCTACAAACATTTACATATTTATATATAAATATATAATATTGATAGAAATTGATAGATATACAAATACAAACATACTTACATATCATCATATATGTATTTTATATATATATATATATATAATATTGATAGAAATTGATAGATAGACAAATACAAACATACTTACATATCATCATAGATGTATTTTATATATATATATATATGTGTGTGTATGTGGGTGTATGTGTAAATATATATAGCATATAGACAATTCAGGATGCAACCTAGACAATGTGTGGTTAATCAAAGTCCTATCCTATGTAAACATAACCGGAATTTATGGCTTCATTAAAAGGACATGGGATTCGCCAATGAAAATGCATGATACATTAGGTAGATCGCTCCCATGTGGCTGCTTGCAGATAGACTGAAATGTTCACCGATCTCAAAACAACAAGAAAATGGCCGCCTACACTGTATAGTCTGTCACGAACCACCAGCAACCGACGTAATACCTTCATACACAAGAATCGGCAGTGTAGACTATATATATCGTATCTGTCGTCTCTAGAGGGGTGCAATGATGTACATACAATACAAATATAATGTATCACTAGCACACTACCATATGAGGATACTCACCTGATGTGTTCGGCTGTGTGCGTTACCATACAGCGACACTTGATACGGCAGCATAGCATCGAGCACTCGAGGATCCATTGGTGTGGTAGCCTGCATGTCCAGATACAATGGGCGTCTATCTGTGTGCGCAGAAGGTCTCGATGGGGGTGCGAATTCCCCAAATTCGTTTGCTTCTTCGGCAGAATGGTGTCGTATACTGTTGCTTACTTGTACGTTGTTTCCTGCACGCGCACCTATGCGTAGAGAATTTAGTGCACCCATTGCAGGAGCGAAGTGGGCGAACCCGCCGCGGGCGGCTTTGGCGCCAAGTGTGTTCATCTTGTATCCTTATGTATACGTCTACAGTGTACTACTGTACAATACTTTCTGTGTTCACAGTGTGTTCTTAAACTCCCATCTACACAACAGTGAATGGTAGTACTGAGCGTATATTTGCCTAGCTTTGGTGTATGTATGTATGTATTTTTTAATAATATTACATCCTTCCTATTTTTTTGTAATAATGATGAAGAAGGCAATGACGCGCTTTTAAATACTGTCATAGCCTGCAAACGTGGACCTGTAGTAGAGCTTATACTTTTTACTCTTCGTTCGTGTATTTAATTCGTCCTATGTTTTTTATTCCGGATCACAATTAAACCAGACGTAGAAGGTAAGTAGAGGTATACCGACAAACGACATAGAAATAAAAACATAACACAATGTCGGAAATGTGTCGTAATATTCGAATACGTGTACATATATGATCTTTAGGCCAAAGCCTTTTTCTAAAACAAACAAGGCTATGAATCAGCCTATTTATGTCCTATCGAAGGCTATGAAATATATATATATATAGTTGTTCTTCTAACAAAAAAAAATTAAATTAAAAACATTGTCACAAAGCTGTCATCAATATTTGAATTTTGTTTAGAGTTTACACTGAACACTCACAGTCACACAGCTGGAGATGACCACAATTTACCAACTTTCACTGTTCACACTTCACACGGTGTGCAGCTTGTATATTTCACCCATCATTTATGATTCAAGTATATATACATACATCCACGTTAGAAAGATAGACAGTCTCCAGCTATATGTATAGCTGACTAGCTTCAGTGCGTTCAGTATCGATAATTGACTCAGTGAACTGACCGTACATATAACCGTCCACAATGCTTCGGTGTGACCGCATCTTTTAGCGTGGTATTCTATAAGTTGGCTTCAGGCGCTGAATAAAATACGGATAATATAAAAGCAAATCTTATCGCACGGTGCGATTCAATGGTCAGATACTGTTGCTGATTAATTGATAATGTACAAGCTGCGTGTGTTGCCGGCCATAGGCCCCCAGCTGTGGAGGCGGTCCGTACAGAACGCACTACAGCATCAGCACGGAGTACGACAACGCAATGTTTTCAGTAGTCCAACACGCAGGTATACAACCGGAAATAAGAATAATGGTATGTCAAATGTTATTACTGTGCTTAATCGCACTAGAGGTAAACTATGACGGTACAAAATATACTACAGAAATTTGAAGGGGTAAATGTACCTTTTTATCTACAACAATGAAAGTGCTCCACACGAATTTGTTCACAAACAAGTATGTAATTGCATACAAGCATACACATATGTATGCGTAATATAAATTTAATATATATATATATATATAAATGTGTGAGTGTGTGTGAGTGTGTGCGTGTATGAATGTGTGCATGTATATGTGTATGTATATATGATATATTTATATATATATATATATATATATATATATATATATATGTGTGTGTGTGTGTGTG